TCCTGTCTTATTGTTTCATCCACTATTCTATTCCTCTGCAGGAATATAAATAAGTACATTATTTTCTTGGTACCTATTAGGAAACATCATACTAATCTTAAGTCAATTTACTAGTCTGTTTAAAAATATAAAAAAAAAACCCTACAACAATACCAAAGTAGAACTGTATACATATTAAACTGGAAAAATGTGAACATACATAGAATCACAGAATGCTTTGGGATGGAAGGGACCTTTAAAGGTCATCTAGTCCATCCGCCCTTGCAATTGGCAGGGACATCTACAACTAGATCAGGTTGCTCAGAGCCCCATCCAGCCTGGCCTTGAATGTTTCCAAGGATGGGCCATCTACCACCTCTCTGGGCAACCTGTTGCGGTGTTTCACTACCCTCATTGTAAAAAATTTCTTCCTTATATCTAGTCTGAAGATTTGCACCATACATAATGAAAAGTTTTTTTTATAGTGTATTCTTTAAGGCTTTCTAACACTTATATTTCCAGGGTTACCTTGAAGAATTGGTACGACTCAGAGAAAACCAGCTATCTGAATCTGTCTCACAGAATAAACTGCTGTTACAAAGAATTGAAGATATGGATCTAGCCCATAAAATGGAGAAGGAACAACTGGAATATATCATTGTGGAACTGCAAGACCAGTTGTAAGTTAGTATAATGGAGAAAAGTTGTTAGAGCACTATTACTTAATTTATTTAACTTATTTAACTCTACAATAGGAAGAACTTCTGGTCCTGTGGAAATGAGTCAAACTTCTTAAAGAAATGGATGTATTCTAGCTTTTTTTTTTTTCCTGACAAGTCTTATATTCAGAAATGGCTCCCCTGAAAACTGCAGTAGTGTAAGACAGAATAATTCTGAGAGATTTTTTTAATTTTTTTTTTTTATCTGAAATGGCTTACAGTAAACTTGCTTAAATTTTTAACACATTTTATAAAAAATGTTCTTTATATTTTATTACTTCCAGCTTTAAGGCTACCCTTAAAAAATATTGGTAGCAGCTTCCTTTTGAACAGTGTTTTTAAAATGTTAGGCAAGAGAGGATAAAGAAATATTTATTTTCTTCACATAGGTTCTATTTTATTTGCACAGGGCTCAGACATAGTAGAATTTCATCTGGTAGTCCTAAAAATATTTAAACTGATGGAATTATTTGCTACTCACCCTTTCTTCAATGCAAGGCAAAATCTAAAACAACAAGAAAAGGCTTAATTTTTTAATAACATATGTGACTCCTAATATGATAAATATTTAAGTAGGTAGTTCATCCTCCCAGCCCTGTCTTTTGGGTAGAGAGATGCTGTCCTTTTACAGAGACACTCCCTGGTAATGTTTAAAGACCCAGACAGATGGAAGACTTGCTGTGTGGTGATAAATTGCCACAAGACTGCTATAGCATGCATCTGAATTAATTGTGTGTTCTGTTCTGTTCATAACAAATACAAGATAAATTATTTTACCTCATATCTGGAGAAATCTTTATATGTCTGAACCCTGAAGTAAAATCCATCTCTGGCCTTTGAAACAATCCAGGATGAAAAGAATATAAAGATGGCTTTGGGGTACTTTGGTTTCCTCTGTCTAATGTCTTATAGAGATACCACCTGGAAGGGTCTTTTCTATGCAGTAAAAAGTACTTCTAGCTTGTAAGCAAAGTTTTTGGTTTGGTTTGGTTTTTCCCCCCCTTCCCCTCTCTGTCTTGTGGTAGATCATTTTATTGGCAGTGCTTGAAATGGATTTTGTTAAAATCCTCAGGAATACAGTATTTGCATTTTATTTATGCCAGTTTCAGAGTTGAGGAAGAAGATGTTTTTCTGAGTCTTTTTTGTTTTCTTTTTCTGATTGCCTGTAAGCTTTTGACAGATACCTGTTCTTGAGTTCTTTTCTGAACTTACTGATATAGCTAACAATTCATGTTATACTTCTTTGGCCTCCCTGATTATTTGCGGTGGGTGTAAGGGAGGTGTAAGCTCATTTAAACCCACTCTCATACTTGGAAATTTTGAATGTTCAGACCTGCTGTTAATTTTTAGCTGAGCTATTTGCAATCAGACTGTTCTAAAGATCTCAGTTTTTGGGGTTTGATTGTGTTTGCTGGCTTGCTTATGTAAAGGCTCAAATTGTGGAGCAGTTTCTGTTGTATCTTGGCAGTGTTTTCTTGTATAGCTGTTTATGAGACACTGCAGTCAGGAGCCTGGACTACACTAGATATTTTGAGAGAGAGACATATAATTCTGCATTGTTATTGCTGTGAGTGTAGCGTGCCTCTCAGATGAACTCTTCTTGAAGTGGCTTAGGAACTTGTAGTTCCTTACTGGGGAGAGGGAAGGGAAGAAATATTCCTAGCAGGTTTCTGATGGTGAACACCAGTCACAATTAACATCTTGTAATAATTCTTTCATACTTGTTTTTTCCTTCTTTTTTTTTTTTTTTTTTTATTCTGACCAAAGGGGATGTGGCAGCAGAATATATTGTATCACTAATGTGTCTGTAATGAGGCATGAGTTTTGGCCAATTGCTTTTTATGGTCCAGCTGTTTTAGAATGGTGTTCATGTAATTCCGAATCTTAGTGTTTTGCTCCCCTACCATTAGCATTTTGAAGTAGTGAATGTATGCTGTAATCTTTTTGGATTCTTTACCAGCAGCTAAGAGCAAGTTTGGGATTGTAATTCTGCCCGAACCAGATTACATTACTGTTTGTAAAACACTTTGAGGTATGATTTAGAATAATTTGCTGTGTAATGGACACTATTATAAATAAACATTCTATATTTTCTTTTTAATGATGCTTTTCTATTCCACTGGCTGTTGTCGTTAAGGCAGCAAGTTCTACCACTTCAAGTTTCTGTTGAGTAGGTACTTGTTGATGTTTCCAAAATGGTATTTCACAGGCATGCAAGTCAAAATGTTGTACGTATATTCTCAATGGATTTGGGCAGAATCCGAGTCTATGTCTAGGTCTACCTCCCCCCCCCCGCAACCCCCCTCCAAAATAAAAAAAAAAAAAGTGAGGATGGGGAATAGAGATCTGACTTTCTGGGCAGTGTAGGTGGTTATTGTTGCTGACTTGGAAACCAGATAACACTAGTGATCAATAAGGCCTTCAGGTTATAAACTAGATTACCGACAGAGAAACTTTTTCATATTCACATTTAATAAGGCAGTTTGCTGTAAAGCATGAAATAAATATGGAGATTGGAGTAACTTGGAAGTAATTTTTGTTTTGCAGCTGCTATGCAAAACTTAACGTTCTACAATTTTTAGTATTCTTACCTTTGTCTCACACGCTTGAGTATCCAAACTACAATGAGCAACACAGTTTTCAGTTTAGTTAAAAGCCATTTTGTGGATCTCATGAATACCAGTATCTGGAAAATAGTGAAGCTGAAAATTTATCAAATTAGTTATTCACAAGAGAGTAACTTTTTTGTGTCTCTCAACTTAATTGGTTTTCTTAGTAATATGCCCACCCATCTGGGGATTGGATGTCTCCATCTGGCAGGTTGTCTGATGGCAAATCAAGTTAGAAAAGTGAAACTGCAATCGACCACCTGATCATCAGTCAGACACATTTAAACTAATGCACAGCTGATCAAGAAGAAGGTTCAGACTAGATATTAGGAAACATTTGTATACCAAGAGGGCAGTCAAGCACTGGAACAGGCTTTCTAGAGAGGTGATCGAAGCACGACACCTGCCAGTGTTTAAGAGGCATTTGGACAATGCCCTTAATAATATGCTTAACTTTTGATCAGCCATGAAGTGATCAGACAGTTGGACTAGATGATCGCTTTAAGTCCCTTCCAACTGGAGCTATTCTGTTCTACTCTAAGAACAGCTTGCTCTTTTACCACTTGCAGCATCTCCAGATGAAGTGATTTCCTAGTGATATGTGTCAATTGTTATAATGATGAGGCATATTCTGGCTTTCATTTGCTTTCTTCAGAAGTGTTTGCTGTCACTGGGATGTGTTTTTGCCTGGGACTTGTAGTTGAACATCAGAGAACAGTGCTTTTGGCTCCATTCTTCTATACAAATAGTGTATTTTTACAGTGAGGGTGGGGCATTTCTTAAGGCCTTAAAGTGCTTAAAATTAACAGCTCACAGGAGGACGGCCAAGAGAAGCCTGTGATCCATGCAATGTCTAACTGAAGAAAACAGTTTGAATTCCATAACATTCAAAACGTGATGGGAGACGGATCCCAAATCATCAAGGAAATGTATCCTGGAGTATTCAAAACTCAGAGGCAGCCATTTCTTCCTCCTCTAAGATCCTGCAAAGAAGTGTTGAATGTCTTTTGGAGCAGAGACACATCTGATTGCGCACCCCATCACTCAAAAAATTCTGAGCACAACCCCCTAATATAGGTATATTTATTTATTTATAAGTTACATATATGTCCTACTATACTAATGTATTATATATGTTATAAAACATACACAAAAATAGAAATTAAAAAGGATGAGATAAAGATGAAATAAACACTATTTTAAAATTATTTTTCATGTATTAACAATACAAAAAGTATTTTCTTCCCGTACCCCAAAGGTTTTTCTTACGCACCCTACTTTGGAGACCACTGCCTTGAAGGACTAGTTAGCTCAGTCAAAGAAGTGACTGGGCAAAATCTGGAACTGTTTACCCACAAAATCCTTGCATTAAAACTTTTATCTCGGCTTACACAGGCTTTTTTCCCCCCTTAGGGTTATTCTTAGTCTTTCTTTTGGCTTACACACTACCTGTGTCTACGACAAACTCTGCTGATCTTTGTCACTTTAAAGTTCAGATTCTGCATCTGAAATTGATATTTATATATGTTAAATATTGATGTGTGATTACAAGAGAGATTCCATCAATTTCCTGAATAGTGACTCATCTCCTGCATAGTGACTCACTGATGTTATAAAAGCTAATCACTTTAACAAAAAAATCTTTTTAAATAAAGTGATAAGGAAAAAGGAAAACATTGTATACAAAGGTTAAAAAACCTCAAAATGCTTTAAAATTTTTTCTTCTACTGTGATTTTTGTTTAAATGACAATAGTGACTGGCCTAATATTTACCAACATAGGTTTACTCCTAAGGTATTTTTCAGGTTTTCAGGCTGGTGTGCCTGGTGTAAGATGGTACAGCCTAATTTATCACATGTATTGAAAATGTATTTCTTAGGTTCAGTGGCTATGCTACATTTTACACCGCTCTGGTTTTTATCTCCCTCTGCTGTTTCTTCCTATCTCCCTGTCCTGTTCTGGCATTTTGTGGAGGGAAGTAAATTCAAGAAAACTCTTCTGTTTGGAGTTCTGTCTTTGGTTATGGCACAAATAAGACTCAAATAAAATTGTAGGGACACTCACGTCTTACATTGTATTAAGCTTGTTTGTATAATTAAGAATTTTTTGTATGTTTTAACAAATCTTAAAGCTAGATTTATTTAATTTGTCTGGCTGTTATTTCAGAATTTGTTGGTCTTTTCAAGGCCCAGACAGTACTTGTACTCCATTCTTAATATTTTAATATAGCTGTCTGATAGATCCAGCAGTACTGCAGTTCCTAGCTGGATAATACAAATGTCTTTGTAAAGACAGGAAGCAACAGTTTAGTTGCAACCCTGAGAGCATCAGTGGCACTCTTGAATTACAGTA